GCGTTCAAAAAATGTAAACCAATATTTCATTGTCGACCAAAACCATTCTGCTCTTGGTGTCATTGACGGTTGTATAAAAATGTTAAGAGACTTAAACCAACCACAAGGTGGTGAAGCAAATGAAATGTCATATGACGACAAATATAGACACTTCTCCATGGCAAAGATGAGACAAGTTTTAAATATTTACAATAACCGTAAACAAAAAGGTTTGGGAAACCACTCCCCCGAAGAAATGAAAAACAACCCTGACTTAGAGAAAGACTATATATTTAATAATTTAGTCAAAAGAGACAAACAAGAAAGAATGCCGGGCTTCAAACTTCAGAAAGGTGACAAAGTAAAAATAGAAATACCTAAACGCGACCCATATGAAAATACTATTGACTATGACAACAATGGGAACCCGACAGGTACTCACATTCGTGTTCGTAAAAATAGAAGAAAGTATACAAGAGAATATTATGAAGTTTTAGGCAAACATGGCAAAATGTACACACTGCAAGCAGAAGATAAAACTACTATTGTCAGACCTCGTTTCAAACTTGTCAAAGTTCAAGGTGGTATACTTTCAAAGACAGTTCCTAACAAAATAGACAACTCCTGACGAATATGCTAAAGAAGTTGAAAATGACGACTAAGCATTTCTATACCATGCGTAAACTGTCATGTAAGGTGGCATGTAGTCTTTACTTTGTCCCGTTGTTTGCGTATATCCCGAAACGCGATGTGTATGGTTTCCTCCTCCCTCAGTGTTACTCCAGTAACAATTTATAGCAAACTTAACGTTGTCTTTAACATCATATCCTTTACCTTTTGTCATTGCTGACCAATCCAATATCTATGCTTATGCCAACCTGCTTGAGATGTACTTAAATCTATGTAGTGACTGTGTGCAGGTAAATTTTCACCTGAAATCGTTTTACTTCCACCTGTTTCCTTTGAAGAGTTTGCACAATACAAAAACCTGTCGACTATTTGAGTCCAAGTTCCAAAACCAAGTACTACTTCTGGTCTGGTAGAGTTCATTGACGTATAAATAGAGCCTATAGGATATAATGTTTGAAGTATTTCTGTCTTTAATGTTTGAAGCTCTGTTTTGTCTGCTTTCTTGTCATATAAATCTTGAGCAGTGAATTTAATATTATGTTCATCCTTCATGACATAAACATCTTTACATCTAATGTTTCTCATCGTCGTTATGTCGTCATCCGATGTTAAACCTTGTGGAAAGTTAGGAGGTTTCTAATATAATACATCCCCATCAGGTTCTTCAACCGTTCCTTCAATACTTTCTATACCAACAGTTGTGAAGAATTCATGTGTATGAGTCTTATTTGCTTTCTTCTCTAACTCATCGTTAACATAAGTTTTATCTGCTTTAAGGTCTAAACATCCTGAAACCCATCCTGTATCGGCTTTAGTTTTTAAAATCTTCGATGTCCATTCATGGTACCAGTCAACCCTTTCTATAATTTCGTTATCTTTTTCATCCACATATTCCTTATCCGCTTTCTTCTCTAACTTACTAGCCACATATTCCTTATCCGCTTTCTTTTCAAGGCTAACGTTTAAGTCTGTTATTTCAGATATAGAATGTGTATGAGTCTTTTTAGAATATTCGTTTTCAGCTCTCGTCACTTCACTTGACATTTTATTGTCAACATATGTTTTGTCTGCTAGTTCAGGATGAGTATGTTCTTTTGTTGCATAAGCATTGTTAGCTCTTTCTTCTTCTTTTGCTATTGCATCGTCTACATATTCTTTGTCAGCTTTGTTGTCAACATCTGCTTTCAAAAGAAGTTCATTTATAGGTTTCTCGTTTAAAGTTCCTTTTGTTGGATTTATACAGACAGTATTGTTCTTCTTGTCTTGAAACAGAAACTCATCTGTCATTGGGTTTAATGTCAGTTTTAAGTTTCCTTCTTTCAATGACTCAGATATCTTAGAATAGTTTGAAAAGTTTGTTGTGTTCTTATTTAGAGCTTGTATAATGAGTTGTCGGTTGTGTTGTATTTCTCTCATAGACGCTGTTTCATTTGACATTTTTATTCTAGATAAAATATGCTTTCAATAGAAAAAGAAAATTCTAGAGTTGCTACAACTAAACCATTAGATGAACTTTTTACTAATGTCGGTCAAAAGTTTGAGACAGCGACCGTAAAGCATGAAGGCTATCGTTTTGACTACCCGTTAAGATGGTTAAGAGACCCATCCGTCACAAAAGCTATTGGCTTTCGTAGAATGAAGTTCATTTCAGAAGCCATACATGGTTTCCCATTTACAGTCGGTTTTGAAGTTCGATACTATAACAAAGAAAAACGTATGTATGAGAAATTTGAACAGGGAAAACTTTTACAAGTGAATTTGCTTGTAAACTTAGAAACAACTCTTCAAGCTTTTCAAGAAAAAATAAACGATATCTATATCGAATATGCAAACCAGTATAACATTGACGAAGGAGAATACCATCTCGATATTATTTATGACAGGAAAAATGCAACTGTTAAAATCAATAGAATAGAAGACCTTGGAGAAAACGTTTATATTTCTACAAAATATAACAACTTGGCATGGTATAGATTTATGAGGATGTTAAATCAGCCTGCAGAATATCCAGTACACCCGGACTTTTATGAAGTCGAAAACCCTAATGGAACATATGAAAATGTTTTCGACTCAGATGCTATTATAGTTCATGCTTCATTTTCTGGTGCACAAAACTCTTTTTTATGCTTGGCAAATGACTTTTACGAAAAACCTACAAAGCTATATGAACCACCAAGTGGAAGTATTTCAGACTTTCAAGTATGGTTTACAACAGATGGAAGAAAGAGAATAATTCCATTATACCATGCGTTTTACTTAGAACTTAGTCTCATATACAACTACTATCGAACGGTAAAAATATAATTTTTAATACGGTTGAGGTGTTGGATTTGGTTGCCAACTTGACTGTGGTGCAGGTTCAGGCTGTTGTATAACAGGAGCTTGTTCTTCTGGTTCAGGGTCTTTAGGTATAATACCAACAAACTGACCTACTCTTTTACCAATATTTTTGACTCCGTTCCAAATTCCTCTTCCGACAGATTTTATTCCATTCCATATACCTCTTCCAACTCTTCTGAAGAAGTTTCCAATACTACTGAAGAAACCCATTTTACTATATGTAAAAATCTAATGTCCGCCTAGTCTCTTACGTTTCCTGTTGAGTTCCATAGCATTTTTTAACTGGAGCTCATACATTCTATTTCTCCTCTGGTAGAAAACATATTCTGGGTCAACTCCTGTGTTCGCGTCATCTGCATAGAGTTGTTTATATCCCACTTCAGGGTTTGTATAAAACTCTTTCCATCTCATATTTGCATACCATGGTGGCAAACCTAACGCAGCGTCATTTGACATGGCAGTTTGCATTTGTACATCTGTTGGCACTTGACCATAGTTTGCCATTGCAGTTTGTATTCTAACTTCATTTGGAATATTCTCTGGGTTTGGTTGTCCAGGTTGCTGTGCATTCGCTAAGTTCTGTGCGTCCATTTAATATTAGATAAAAATATCTCTTACGAGTACATATGCTGAACATTTGCAGGCAATGGTTCATCTTCATATTCTCTATATCTTTCTGCCACGTCAAATAAGTAAATGACACAATGGAAAAAACCTAAAACAAGTAGTCCTATTTCAAACCACATTTACTTACCAATAAAATTTCTTTGTTATGACACTTTTTCCGGTTTATAGGACCTCTCTCATATTCTATCTTGTCATATCTAAACTCATAGTCATGTATGTCCTCTAACCATCTCATAACGGTTTCCAAACCACTTTTATCGGATGTAAAGTAAAAGCATGGATGGTTATGTAAAACGTCTAAAGTTTCTAAAGAGTCTCTCAAAGTCCAGTCTACTTGGTATTGAAAATCGCATGTGTTATAGAACGGCGGGTCCACTATAAAGAAAACATTTTCCTTGTCTTTATATTTTTCATACAACTCTGTCCAATGACATCTCACAAACTCTATACCCTCAATATATTTTTCTATGTCCTCTTTGAAAACATTTGTATAGTTAAGATATAAAACTTTTGACATAAGTGTTTCAATGTCATGAACTCTTATAGCACCACTATATAATAGTCTAGCAGATATACTATCCCAGTCTATATATTCTGCTTTTTTCAAAACCTCTCTCACGATATTTTTCTTATCTAATGGTATACGTTCCATCTTACCTATAGGTATCTTTTCTTTTAACTCTTTCAATATTTTGTTTGTGTCTGGTATATGTTTGAGACGGTTCATATAGTTGTCGAAGTCATTGCATATAATCTTTGAGTCTGGGAATATTGTATGGCACAAATGGGACATATAGAAACTTCCACCGAACAAATCTACAAATGTTAGACCATTCGGTAGTTTCTTAAGTTCTCTCAATAGAATATCTTTACATCTACTCTTATTTCCAAAGAAGGGTAACGGTGGTTTTGTAAAATTCATTTTATATATATAATAAAAATGTTTTTTCCTGAAAAGTGACAAAACATGAAAACTACTCGGTCAAAGTCTTGTCGGTTTTGTAAAATAACCGTCCTATCTTGTTTTAAAATGGAGAAAAGGCTTCTCAAAGTATACTTCCTTGGAACGCCCGTAACTTTTCTGTAGCGACGATAGACCCTTACTTGTCCGGACAAAGTTGTACTATTTTGAGTGCTCTACAAAAAAAGTCAACGACGACGACTCTCAAAAATTTTTATGGGCTAGAAGGGGCGCAGCCCCTGGGAAGCCCCCTATACCAAAAAAACTTCATTTTATACTTCATTTATACTAAACATCTTCGGGGCTAGAGGGCACGAAGTGCCTGGAGGCCCCACTACCTTTTTTTTTTTTTTTAGTGTCATATCTTTGAGATTGATTTAATTTGAGTCGCGTTGCTATAAAGTATATCAAAATAAAGTGAAACAATAAAAAAAATTCAGATTTGAGAAAATAAAATTTTATTTTACCATATTGTTCTTCCTGGAATTACACATTTGCTCAAGTAGCCCTTTTGCTTCAAAATAGACTGGAAATTATTATATGGGAATAAACCAGTCAACAAATCTTGTTGATTAGGAATTATTGAGTCAACAGGGAGAACTTGCCCATTATATAATAATCTTGCTTGTATGTCTTTTCCAACTTCCCAAATCTCAAGAATAATATGAGATTTTGGTAAAGGTCCGGTTTCATCAGAGAAATCAAGGATCGAAAGAATAGAAACAAAGTTTTCTGGTGAAAGTGGAACTGCAATGATTCTGTGGTAAGTCTCAGTTGCGAGCTTGTGGTTAATAATTCTAAATACTTCTCTGAGAATCGAGGAAGATAACACAGATGGATTATTATTGAACAAATTTTGCTTATATAAGTACTTAACAACAAAGTCTTGACTATCAACAATGAATCCATCAGGCAAATGTGGAAGATTTTGTTTTGCACACTGGTATTTAAGGAATGAAGAAGCAACACTGTATGCATTCTCCTTTGTTAATTCAATTCCATTTTCATGCAGTGAATTCTTATATTTAGAATTATATGAATCAAATAATTCAGAATACGAACTACTTGCTATGAATGCCTCTTTTTGATTCTTGACGTCTGCACATGATTCTGAATCGGGTTCTATTAATTTGTTCTTTGCAGAATCAGAATAAATCTTCAAAACTTCATTATAATCAGTGGATTCATATAAACCTTGTGCAAATGCCATAGCAGACTTTAAGCTAACCTTTTTATTTGATGATTTAATATATAAGAAATTAGGATTTGCGTTCTCTGGCATGAAACCGGGGACATTATTGGAATAATGTTGTTTGATTCTTCTTCCTAGCTCATACATCTGATTCATTCCTTTATTTGTTAAGTCATTAGCTGAACATGATGGTGTAAATGATAAAACTCTTGGATCTTGCTGAATTTTGTAATTTCTATGAAAAGCTTCAGGAGCAGGGTTATAGTTCATGATTAACGAGTTTTCATCATCACATGTCCAATTTTCTTCATTACTACGGCTAATATATCTCACATCTGGAGTTGACTCGCCAATATTAAATAAAACTGATAAATGAAGTAATTTAGCTCCTTCAACTGGCTGATGGAAGCCAGTGTTTGCTTCGCATTGCAATTTCTTACTGTTGGCTACAAATACGATAAAGTTTAGCATTAAACCAGAATTGAGAATGAAGTATACAAATTTTTCAGAGATTGTTCAATTTAATATTGAGAAGTATACATATCGCAAATATGATTTTGTTCTCATTTTTTGTTTCCGAGACCATCTGTGCAGCAGTTACACCTTACAGATTCTCTCCAACACCTGCTTACCCGAACGAAGTTGCAAGGACACACACTTGGCCAACAAAATTACCAGAATGGCCAGCAACAAAGCAACTTCCTTCTCCAAATGAAGATTCAAGCTCCAAAAACAAAATAATAACAATCAGTGTCTCGGTTGCAGCTTCTGTACTTCTTATTATTGTAGCATCTGTGCTTGTAATTTACATCGTGTTAAAGAAGAAAAATAAAGATGTTGAATCAAAATCAGGAAGAGAAGTCACAGAAACTATATTGGTGTAAAAAAGTCCTTAATAAAATCAATTAATTTACAATAATTTATTGTTTTGAATTGAATATTTTTTGAATGATTTCTCAATATTGAAACCCTTCTCAATTTTCGAAAACATCTCAATTTGAGGACATATAGAATCATTTGTATTTGAATTCAAAATAATTGAATTAAAGCTAGACAATTAGATGACTTCTATTCCATGCATTAATTTATATAAATCTAACATAATTCATCAAGATTCTTTTTGAAGAATCGAATTTATCGATGAGTTCTCAATTTTTTTATAGGATTATAACTTAATGCTTGGACTACTTGTTGCAAGTGGATTCTCAAAGCTCCATCCTACATGCGATATTCCATATAAATTCCCCGAGCCTTTGAACACATCTGAGTATATTCCAGAACATATGGAAATTGTACTTCGACATGGAGCACGAACACCAATTACAATGTGGCTCAAGACAGAAGAAAGAGGTAAATGGCAATGCGATGCAGATGATGCACGCGCTTCACGTATTGAAGTTTCTCCAAGGAAGAATGGAAGAAGAGTCCACAAAATATTTGAAGAGAGACTTTCCGAATATCCAACAAATTGCAATGCTGGTGATCTAACAGTTGAAGGTATGGAACAGCACCTCAAACTTGGTGCTGCATTTAGAGAATATGCTATTAACAAGATCAAGCTTATTCCTGAATATTATGATCCAAGACTTATTTCAGCACGAGCTACATGGTATGAAAGAACATACAGATCTGGTGTTTCATTTTTACAAGGCTTATATCCAGTACAAGACTCAAATGAATATATTGATTTCCTTGTAGGTACAAAGAATAGAGATACAGTTCATCCAAACAATAAGATGTGCCCAGATCTCAAGAAGCTATCAGCAGACTTCTTTGCATCTTCAACTTATATGGATGTGCATAATGAAGTTATGAAGTATGCACAGCCACTTTATGATTTAACAGGAAACACAGATAAGTCACCAGAAGGTTTGGAATCAATGTGTGATTGGGCTATCACCTATTATTGCAATGAACAAAAATTATTCCCAATTATTACCGATGAATTGATTGAACAATGCAGAAAGGTTCAAGCATATCACTTTTACAGAATCTCATTCTTTAATGAAACTCAAGGTTGCGTTGGTGGTGGACCTATTTTCAGACAGTTATTCAAGAATTATGACGAAAGAGGAGAAAAGAAACTTGATGTTATTGCTGCTCATGATTCCGTTATTGCATTTGTATTGTCATCACTTGGAATTGGAGGAGATTGGGTAATGACTCCGCCATATGCTTCATACATCACAATGGAAACATATCTTAAGGATGATAAAACCTGGATTAGATTCACTTATAATGGCGAAGTAGTTAACATATTTAACAGGTACCAAATTATGGAAATTGGAGAATTTCGATCAGCCATTCAAAATGTTCTTCAAAATTGCTACCCAGACTTACCATAAAACATAAATAAAACAATTTTTTGATATTTTTATCTAACTAATAAAGTAATTAAAAAATCAATTTTTATTTTCCATATTCTACACATGTAAAATACTAAATTTTAACAAAGGAGAACATGTTCATTACAATTTGAATGTCAAAAAACGCCACGCACGTTATGAAATTCATTGCTCCTTCAATTATAATTTGAATGATTTCAATTATTTGATTCACTGACAAAATGTTTTTACATTATTAGTGGTTAAAATCAAAGGAACAATATAATTTTAATTTCGTTAAATTTAATGATATTTTATTCAAAATTTGTGAAAGTCAGGTGGTTGTCAAATAATGCCATTTAAAATTGTTCGAACATCACAGTTACTAAATTCAATAATATTGCATTATAGGTAGACAAATTATTCATAATTTTAACATAAACAAAAATCTTGTTCGATAAAAATGGTGTAAATATTAAAAACCAATAATAACATAACAGAATATATAATTCACTACAATATGAATATTTATTGCAGAAGAATAAAAGACTCAGAAAATAATAAATTCAAACATCTATCGTAACATTATGGTTATCACAAAATCATTGGAGCTATTCTTAATGCTAGTTTATGACTAAAAAAAATATTCATTCAATATTCATATTCAATTGTTTTACATTTTTTCATGAGTTTAACATTACTTTTCTCTCTCTGTCAGTGCTTGAATAATAAATGTGTTTCTCCATTCCACACACCAAGTCCAATTAAAGGATATAAGCTGAAATTTGCTCAAGTCCTCATTAGTGAAGGAGAATATGCACCAAAGTTAACATTGGGGAATATCATTGAAAGAGGACATTGGTCATGTGATCAAGATAATGCAGTATCACCAAATATGTTTATCTCAAACTTCAATAACTACAGGAGATTCAAGAAAATTACAGAACCTCAAATTGTTGACTTTAGTCCAAATTGTAACGCTGAAGAACTTACAGCAGATGGTCAATTCCAGCAAAAGAAATTAGGAGAAGAATATTTTGAGTATTTATTCAAAAATGGGTTATTCACAGATTATCCAAAACCATCTGAGATTTTTGTGAGATCAGCAGCCGAACAAAGAAATATAAGATCTGCCCAGGCATTTATCCATGGTTTTGTACCACCAGGCACACAAAATACATCATTAACTTTAATGACAGATGAAGAAGGTAGTGGAAGATCATTATTGAAACCATCTATTCAAACATGCAAAGAAATCACTAATGATGATGATATCATTAAGGAATATTGGCCATCCATTAGTCCAATTGCTTCGAAATATGGAATTGAGCAAACATATGAAAATATGATAGATATTGCACGTTGGGTTATTTCATATTCATGCAGTGGAAGAAAACTTCCTTTCAGTGTTACACAAGAAATACAAGATGCCTGTCATAAGATCATCAACAAGCATACATATGGAAGATTTAGTAAGAAACCAGAGTTATTTGCATCCTATCTAATGAGAGAATTCATTAGAATCCCATCGAATATAACAGGAATAGAGTATAAATTTTCATTATTCTCTGGAAGTGAAGAATCAGTTGCTTCTATCCATCAACTTCTTGCAGGAAGCGATGCCAATGTTACAATGACAGAGCATTATGCAAATCATTTATTGATGGAAATTTGGACTAAAGGTAAAACAGAATATGTTCGATTCGCATATAATGGTCAAGTCATCAAACTTAAAGAAATGAAAGGCAAGGATATTGTAAAACTGTCAGATTTCAAGAAGTCTGAATATAAGAATGTTAATGACTATTGTAAAAATCTTCCTTAATTTTATTAATTTTGATTTTTATTTATAGAGTGGCCCACAAAAGTGTGGTGTCTCCAGAAAAGAGAAAGATACCTTCTGGTCAAATAACTAGATATATCCTTTATTTTAACAACAATATAATAAAAACGCTTAGATTCATACATTAAATTGAAAGATTTATTCTTAAGGATACCCTTACGTGTCAGATTTTTTGCGCATACGAAGAAGTCATGCTAGACATGAGCTATAAACCTGAAATTTTAGCAACATATTTAAAACATTTTAAACTACAATACACTTTAATATTCAAGAACAAAAATATTCTTTTTAGAAATTACATAATTATTTTATGTGAAATCTATATAAAAACATATTTTGCGAGCGTAACTTTTTTCTTTATAAGCACCTTATATGACTGATAAACTGTGAAGGCACATAATTGTTAATTCATAGAGTTGATATGTTTCCAAAATTGAGAGGAAATTTGAAAATTGAATACCCTTTCAATTCAATTTTCAAAAGATATCAGCTCCTTCAATAATTGAAGGACGATTTTGATCATTTGCTCTTAAAACAAGTATGCCATGGAGAAAAAAGTTACGCTCGCAAATCTGAAATATAACTATCATAAAAAAAATTAAATTTCTAATTTTTTACTCTATAGATATTATTGGCCACTTGTGTAATGCATAAAAGTTTATGTCATATGCATACATTTGGAAGTATGGGAGACGAGGGAAATTACTTCTATGAGGCACTAGGATTTTTAAAAATTTCTCTATCGGACTCACCATTCAATTTCTCGAAAATTAAAAAAAATCAATAATAGCTAAAATGTATTATGCATAACAAATTTTAATGTTACACGGTATTTTTTGAACTTCATGACATGAATTTTCTTTATATTATTTTTTTTTTGGATTTTCTATGATTTATGCGATAGGCTGGAACAACATTGTAAGTGCAATGATATCATTTATAGAGAAATCTAAAACTTCAGCATTCAGAACTCGCAACCACAAAAATATTCATTTGCTAAGTAAGTAAAGTTGATTAAGTTCGACACTTAGCTTTTATACGTAAAACCAAGTGTGTATTGTTATTTCTTGTTAAATTATTGAGAAAAAAATAAATTGTAAGAGAAACGATACTGATTATTGAAATAATATTGAGGGTAGCTGCAGATTTCTTCATTAACATGCCGGAAATTTGTTAATCTTGGTTTTCTATCATAAAATCTGTCGAAGAATCTAAAAACGGAGATATGAAATAGAGATCATGTAAATCTAGAGTATCCTGTCAGAAAAATAGACTAAGCATGTAACCCTTTTTTGGTCATAAACACTTTTTACCACTTAGTCATACAGATGATCATTAAATTTAAACGAGCACTTTTTGTCAGAATTTATTCTTTTACAAAGACAGAAGATTTTAGTATTATTTAATATTAGTGCTGTAGCAAAATTCAAAAAACGGTGAAAATTCAGTGAATTTGTGAATTCACATTTTTTTCGACATTTTTCTTGATATATCCATGCACATTAAGAACACAGCTTTGATACGCTTAAAAAAGCATATTTCATATGAAATTGTTAAAGAAATAAACAATTTATATAAAAATTGCACTTATGGGCAGTTTAGATATATAATTTATATATAACATATATACAAATCCATAGACAAAGTGCAATAACTACAATGTTGTAGAAAATTACAGCAGAAATACTGACTTTTTGAAGGATAATAAGAATTCTTCTAAATGTTGTATTTTTATAATTTGATGATTTTTTTACTATTTCATTAATCTTTTATGAATAATAATTATTTTTAATATATGTGCTATTAAAATTTCAAATTTTGACTAATATATCTAAGTTATCTGAACGAAACATTTAGAAAATATCATACTTACATTGAAATAGCAAGTAGAGCATATTAATAGCAAGTTTCTTGGCTTTATATCTATCATCTATTGTTGTTTGATCAAACAAAATTCACTCTATTATATGGTGTCAATTAATTAAAACAATTTTTAATAGTTATTTATTTAGTGCGAATAAGTGCAAACTCATAAATGAATAACTTAATAGTAGAAATGAATTATCTGATATAAATCTCACATTTTGTCCATCAGAAATACTTTAATTGCATACGCATAACTATTAGTAATACGTCTGGAGTGTCAATTAATAACAATCCCACAACAAGTAAAATTCAGATTTTTATTAAACTTATTTTTTCCTAAAAGTTTTCTCAAATTACTATATATACATATGTGGATAAAATAATAGTAATATTGTAAAAAATTAGATAATTTTTTTTATTTGAGAACCTCTCAAAAGTTCATTCAATTTATCAATTGTTTCAGTTTGATGTATATTCATTTCTGGAGCCTAAAACTTTAGCAATCATGACAATATCATATTCTCTTTCTAACTACGCAATGTAAGGGTATCCTTAAATTAGAAAATACATCATTATTAAGTTTCGAACAGTAGGCAAATCTCAAAATATCATCTTTATCAGCTTATAACAAATGAAACAAGTATTGCTAATGTAGTTGTTGCTGTTTCATTAGATTTAATATGTCTGTAAATCATATCAAGAAAAATGTGCATAACTTCAAAGCTAACTTCTGCAATTGAAATCAAAATGAAAAGCAAAGAATACTCTGGTTCTACATTTGCAAGGACAAAGAATAAAGTTCATTTTTATGATTCAATTACAATTAAAAAAATACAAAACAAAAATAGATTGGAATAATAAACAAAATCAAGATTTTTTTTCGTCACTCACTCAAAACGCAGAGGACCATTCTTCTCAAAATTGAATTATTTTCTCAAATATTGAGCGAGTAAAATGGGCACGTTGTGTAAATTGATTCAAAATTTTTTATTGGTACACGACCTTTGAAATTGGTCTCGGGCTATTCAACCTACGGTATTGGTACACGACCTTTGAAATTGGTCTCGGGCTATTCAACCTACGGTATTAAAGTACTCACAAAATCTAGATTGAGAGGCGGTCAATGACTTTTGAGGGTAAATTAACGCATGGAATTTAATATTATTTAGGTTGATATTCTTGCTTATTATTTCAGAAAAAAATCTTAAAAAATTCAATATGAAAATTGAAAGCAATTCAAAAAATTGCTAACATGTAAATTTTAATATTCTATGCATAATTACATATTTTGAACATTTTTTATTTTTGTTTA